TCAAGGAATAATAAAAAAAAAAAAACATAGACCCGGCTAGAACAAGCGGAGTGATACAAAATTGTGAACGGCGTTCCTGTAGCGATACCAGTACAATATCTCACGGTTCCCAACCAATCAGATTTGAGAACCAGAAAGACCTGTTGTATATATATATATATATATATATATATATAAATAAACACAAATACATGTATATGTTTAAGTAAAATATGTTATGTTTATATTAGGGTGACCATACGTGCCATTTTCCTCGGACTAAACATGCGTATTTATTAAATATATTTGTCTATAATATAAATTGTATTAACATATACACTGTATGTGTGTGTATTTATATATACATAATACATATAAACAGTACAAACACATATATTATTATATTATGTAAACAACAACTTTTAATCATTTGACAGCACTAAAATAATTCTTTAAAAAAATGATGAAGACCAGCAGCACAAATGACAATGTAACTGTGACTCACCAGAGACAGTGAGATTGAATCTGTTTGTGATTTGTCTCATGCTGCTGATGATGGTTACTTGATAAAGTCCAGAGTCTGTGGTTCTGCTGTTTGTGATGATCAGAGATCCAGTCTGATGATCCAGCTTCAGTCTGTTTCTGAATCTCCCATCAAGAACATCAAATGTGGAGAAAATTCTATGCTTTGTATTGATGTCAGCTATACGAGTCTCTGAATGTCCAAATGTCCAAGTGATCTCATCTTCTGTCTGTAGTTCAGAGTTAGTCTGTAGAGAGACTGAATCTCCCTCCATCACTGACACTGACTGCACTGCATCTGAATCAGCAAACACACCTGAACAACAAACACAAACAGGGTTTGTCACAGACTTTTTTATTGAAGTAAATAGTTATATGCTCAAATATCATTCACAAACAGGATCAAATGAAAATTCTGATGTTTTCAAAACTGAACTGAAGTTTGCACAGAAAATACTTTTGCTTCAGACGAGAATCACGTCACAACTGAAACTAAAGCTGCTGCTGTTTGAGCTTCAGTGTTTTTATAAGGACTGGGGAAAATAATGTCATCATTTCTGTGATTAAAATTTGTTTAACGAGTTAATGATTGAAGCTACATCCTACATTTAGTCCTGTATCAGTTATAAGTAAACGTACATACATGTTGCAGAAAAACATTGGAATCTCATTCACTAAGCATGAACACACACAAATTTGTGCATGAAATCTGTGTACGAATGTTTAGTTCATAATGCTCTTATATGGAGATGGTTTGGGTGTGTTTTATGCCTTGAGTACACAGACACTAGTTTAGAATATTCACTAACATTAGAACGAGGTCAGGGTCTGTCCCACATAAGAGAGATCGCGTGCACACGACAGGAAGCAAGTGCACAAGACTGTCCCAGGTCTTAAAAACACCAAAGTGCAGTGCCCTTAACGCACACTAAATCCACACTATCTAGAATACTGCTCCAGAGTGCTTAGTGTCTCCCATCATGCATCATGTTTTGGAATAAATTGTGAGACTTTTTGCCGAGATTTTGCAACCTTTCCAATGTAAGTTAAATATTAATATAATAGGCTAATTAGATATTATATAATTTGGTAGAAAAACTAAGTGTTGCAAGTTTTATTGGTGCAAAGATGAGTAGTGGTGATGTTTATTTTGTACAACATTTGCAACTGCTTTTCAACTGCTCCAAAAATTAAATTGTGTCATGTTATAGGGAATACTGAACAGACATTTAGAAGTTGATTTTAAAATGCAAAGTATTAAAAAAAAATGAAGCTATGTAAACACTTGCATTTTTACAAACACTATAAGTGTGCCCCATCAAGTAATGAAAAATTCGACACACTTGTGGTATCGCATCATGCATGATGTTCAGGAACTCATGTGCACCGAAAACTGCTGCAGTGTAAGTTATTTTAATTATATCACACATAATTTGTGTTGCACATTTTAATGGTACAGAGATGAGCATGCGCATTTTTAAAACATTTGCATCTGCTTTTTATCACTTAATTAGAAATACCACAATTAAATTGTCACATAGATACAGAAATGTATAAGCTTATTTTAAAGTGAAAAGTATTAATTGCACCAAAACCTGAAAATAATGCTCTGTAAAAAATCGACTTGCATTTTACAACACTATGTTGTAAGTGTGTCCCATTGGTTAATAAAAAAGTTCTTCACACTCTTATCGTGTGACAGCAGCCAGTGAAGGACGGTGGTAGAATCTGACCAGAGGATGACTTGCCTGATGGTGACTGTGAGCTCCCTTTGGAGGACTTTGGCCATCTGTGCTCCAGTAAGTGCTGCACTCAGTTCAAGTTCACACGTGAATAAGCCAACACGAATGAAATGCTTATATGGTCATTCTTGTCTTCTGTGCATAGATATGATACTGAGCCATATGCTCTTTCAGCAGATGCATTACAGAAGATGTGCAGGTCTCTGGTGAACGTTTCTGCATGTACTTGGAATGAAGTGTAGCATCTGGGAATCTCTAGCTGTTCCAAATTGGGCAGTTCCTGTATCCAAGTTTGTCATCTGTTTTGTAGGCTGTCAGACTCGATGAGGTCATCCCATCCCAGGTGAATTTGCCACAGGTCCTGAACGAGTATCTTGGCTTGGGTGGTGAACGGAATTAGGTACCCGAGAGGGTCATACTCTGATGCTAATACCTTGTAGATATTTCTTAAAGTTGGCTTGAGACATTCCACTTGGCGAGGTCTGTATCCTAAGGAATCACAGAGACAGTTCCATCACATCTTTTGGGATAACCATAGCTCACTGCTTTGTGACCTTGCTTCTGTCAGAAGGTCTTCAATAGCTTCAGGTTTGTTACTGGCACATTGGCGAAGATTGAACCCTCCAGTAAGCAGCAATTGCTATAGGCCATCTACAAGAGCTCTGGCCTTTTTGGTTGATTGTGTACTTTGAAGACAATTGTCTACGTAGAATGATTGGGTGACTGATTCAAGGACACATTCATTCACAACAAGGACTGCACGTTGTGCCAAACGGCCCTCATAGATCTTTGGCTGCTAAGTTCTTTGAATGTTTCTCCACAGTAAGCGCAGGATCGCCTTGTCATCTGGCAGTAGGCGAACTTGGTGAAACATACCTTTCACATCTGCGCTCACGGCCACGGTGTGCGGCCTGAACTGAAGCAAAACTCCAAGCAAAGATGGACCAAGTATGGGACCAGGAATGAGTTGCTCATTTAAAGACTGACCCTGATACTGGAAAGAACAGTTAAACACGATCCTGTTTTTGCCATTGTGTCTCACCATATGGTGTGGAATGTACCAGGATTCAGCTGACTTCTCAGCTTCCTGAGGGGAAATTTCTGCCTCGTAGCTAGCCTTCTCTAGTTTGTCCATCTCAGTGCAGTATGCTTCTGACAGGTTCGGGTCTTTGGCGATTCTCCGTTTTGTGAATGTAGGGTAGGGTGTCAATCTGCCAAAGACGCTCAACGTACTTGAGTAGCTCAGCATTCTGACCGTCTACAGTGATGTTCAGAAATTTTTGGTCACAAGGGGTAGTTAGGCTGTACCCAACAGGGCCATGCACAGTCAAGCAGTATTAAACGAGTGTCAACATTTGACTTAGCATAGACTTACAGTAGTCAGCATGCAACTCACGCGAATTATACACTCTATTCAAGTCCTTATTTGAACTAGTAAAGTTTGCAGGTGACAATAACATAATGAAAAAAAAAATAGTTTGACCAGCAAAGAATGTAAAACGGATAACTTACTTTTTTAATCAATCACTCACAGAAGAAAGAAACGTGCAGTAGTCCATTTTTTTTGCACAATAAACAAGTCAGTCTCACCACCCATACATATAGACTGCCTCTTGATACTTGTCCAGGCATGTCTTGACTTGTTCAGCCTTGTCCAAGCATTAAAATAGTTATAGACATAAAGATACCTCTGGATGGCATCGTTGGGCTTTCATACAGACTCAGATGCAATATCAAAATCATTCTGCCTCGGCATTGAGCACTTTTGACATTTTCATGGTCTCTGAATAAATGTATCTAAAGATATTCTAAACAAAGTACATTGTGTGCAGGCTTTTCTGCTTTTTTGACTTCATGAAATAAAATATTTTGGTTCATGAAAATATTTTAAATATTTTTTTTATGAAAACTGGCAGCACAAATGACACTGTAATTGTGACTCACCAGAGACAGTAACATTGAATCTGTATGTGGTCACTGTCCTGTTCCTGATGATCTCCACTCCATAAAGTCCAGAGTGTGTGCTTCTGGTGTTTGTGATGGTCAGAGATCCAGTCTGATGATCCAGCTTCAGTCTGTTTCTGAATCTCCCATCAAGAACATCAAATGTAGAGAATCTTTCAAAACATTTAATTATTTCAGCTATACAAGTCTCTAAAAGTCCAAATGTCCACATTATCTCATCTTCTGTCTGTAGTTCAGAGTTAGTCTGTAGAGAGACTGAATCTCCCTCCATCACTGACACTGACTTCACTGCATCTGAATCAGCAAACACACCTGAACAACAAACACAAACAGAGTTTGTCACGGTTGAAGACTTTAAATAACTTCATGATGGTTTTCTGAAGTAAACAGTTTGAAATTTAAATCTGAGACCAATAATATCCAAACAACAAAACTGATTATTAACTGCATCTCTGTGGTGATTTTGAATAAAACTCTTATTTGCTGATGCAGGAACTGAAGTTGATTTCATCTCCACAACATCATACACAGAAAACATTTCAGATGAGAATCACGTCACGACTGAAACTAAATCTGCTGCTGTTTTTTTAGAAAAACAAACAAACATATTTGAAAAAAAAAAATACACATTTCAAACTCACCAAGACTCCACAAACACAAACAGAACCAAAATCTGTCAAACATCTTCAACGGTTTCAGTCCACAAATATAAATGACAAACTGGTTCAGCAATGAAAGCACAGATGAGCTGATGTGAGGCTGTTCTGTAGTAAAGTGTTGTGAAACTCCACCGTCAGCTAAATAACCATCTATTTATTCAGTGTTGTTGTGTGTGACCGTCCAGCGCTTTTGAGCAAGAGTAGGCCACAGCTTCCTGGACATCAGTGGCGTCATTTTCAACAGAAATAAACTGACCATAACATGTTAAAAGTGTCTTAAAGCAGCATTTGATCCTGAGATCCTGAGAGTGTTTGGCTCTGCTCTCTCCTGTAACTGTCTTCAGCTCGTTTGTTGATAATTTCTCAACTATTTCTCCTTTCAGACAGATTTAATCGTTTCTCTAATGGCTTTATAAAGCAGGAACCTGTTATAACTGTGTGTAAAAAAAAGTGTGCTCTCATATTTTCAGATGATGTTTTGCATGGAGAGGAAGTCAGAGTGTTTGGTTCATTTAAACAGGAGAGAAAATTAGGCCTACAAACTACTGACAGATACACTGACCACATTCATCTAATAATAAGCATGCTGATGTCAGAGCTGTTTCTCCAGCCACCAGATCAAACCACATTAGATATAAACATATCAGAACACAACATGTTCAGCTTTGATCACACTACATTCAGTAAATGACATGTATTGCATTTATCAGTTTTGCTACTCTAACCAGACGTTGGTATTTTTGTCGAATCTGAGCAAAATAACTCTTTGAAGCACATGTGAGTTTACCTCTGTCTTTTCTTCTGAAGAAGTGTAAAAGACTAGATCAGTTTTTCCCCCCCTTGATATTTCAGTTACGTTATAATGAGCTTACACTATTACACTATCCCCCGGTTTCACAGACAAGACTTAAACCTAGTCCTAGACTAAAATGTAAGTCTGAGCTGTTTCAACTGAAAGACACTTGCATTGACTGATCTTAAATAATATCAGTGCCTTTGTTTTGTCTCAATATGCACACCAGTAATGTTTTTTTCTAAGCACGTTTATAAAATTGCTTAAATGTCTTAATTGAACTATGATCTAATCCTGGCTTAGTCTAAGCCCCGTCTGTGAAACCGGGCCCATGATTCTCATGTTTTGGTTCACTACGTATATAACGCCGAACACCTCCTGCTGGAAGAACCGAGAGGAGAAACACTCACAGACTGTGATGTGCTTCCACAGACATTAACATCGTACATCTGCCAAAGTTTTTTTTTTCCTTAATATTCTCATTAGCTGGGGAGGGGGGGGCGAGTTAGGACGATTCTAAGGGCCCACGCACTTTTGGGGCCCCCAGATATCTGTTTTATTAGCAGTAAGAGTACTAGTAGTAATGTAATAGAAATTATAAATTTATCTACCAAAGAGTTACAAATAAAACAAAATTACGGCTTATTTCTGCATTTCTGGCAAAATTATTTCCCCCCATTCACTGCATGGTTTCATCCCGGCCTACGTAGCCTAGAGTCACTGAGTGAGATCAGATGGTAAACTGTCAAATTAGAGATGTCTTCGAGTTCGAGGGGGGACAAACCGAGCCGGATAATTTGATCAGTCGCACTTTTAAATACGTTTTAGTTTTGCTATAGAAAATCTACAAATTCACACTCTGATTACATAAAGCAGCAGAAGGACACACGTGAGGTTGTCATGGCAACCAGATACACTGCACGCCAATTACGGCTGCGCTTCTATTGTGCCACACTAAACTTAGCAATAAACACGTTGAAAATAATACACGATAAACATGTCTGTCAAAACGATCTCACAGGAGGCTTTTATTAAGCAAATCAAGGAGTGAATTACTCATCCACTATTTAAAAAAAAAAAAAAATTTACTTTAGCTGGGTTTCCACAGGCAGGGTCACAATTATCTACAGTGTACGAAGCTAAAGGTTTTTGGGTTAAGGTTCATAATGTAGAATATTTTTAACATTGTATGCTGTATGTGCATAGGTAGCTATCAAACAAGGAATACAGCTGTTAAAGGGTTAGTCCACCCAAAAATGAAAATTAGCCCATGAATTACTCACCCTCAAGGCATCCTAAGTGTAAATGACTTTCTTCTTTCAGACGAATCCAGTCGGAGTTATATTAAAAACTGTCTTTGATCTTCCAAGCTGTTTAATGGCAGTCAGCGGGTGTTACAGTTCATCAGTCCAAAAGAAGTGAAATAAAGCGCATCCATCCATAATAAAAAGTGCCTCACACGGCTCTGGGGGGTGAACAAAGGCCTCCTGTAGCGAATCGATTCGTTTTTGTAAGAAAAATATCAATATTCAAAACGTAATAATCACTTTAATCTAGCTTGTGCCAGCAGTTGTACACAGAAGCAGCTCCGGGCTGATGACTTATGAGGTCGGTGTTGCGCATGCGCCGGTGAGTCTAATGCAAAAAAGAAACATTACTAAATCATCAGATTGATCTCCTCTGCTGGATGAAGCAGTGCGTGCATCTGGTATTTTTTTTAAAGAGGTAAATTCTGGCTTATTCCTCACAGCGCGTCTTCTTTCAGAAACAAACAGTAGCCGCGATGAACTTGACTATCCTCAGGCTTTGTTTATGTTGGGCATTTACATGTGCGCACGTCTCACATGGATATTATCATATGAAGTACAAGTCATTGGTGTTTGGTGATGAGTTTTTGGCTCAAGGTCTGCATTTAAAGTCACACCAGAGGTGTTCAACTGGGATTAGGACTTTGCTTTCTGCAGACCAGTCAGGTTCTTCCACACTGACTGAATCAATATATATATATTTTAACCTTGCCTTATACACAGAGGCATTGTCGTGTTAGAATAGAAAAGGGTCCTGCCCAAACTTTTGGTATAAAATTAGAAGCACACGATTCCCGAGAATATCATTATATGCTTAAACATTAAGATTTGTACTCATGGAAATTACTAAAGTTGTCAAACCTGTTCATTAGAAGGGATGGTCCCAATACTTTGGGCAATACAGTGTATGTTTGGTGCAGTAGGGGGCCCAACCTCATATTCTTTCATAGGGTCCAAAATTGCTAGCGGCGCCCCTGAACACTGCTGCGAGGGTGATTGTAAAACAGCTGCTGAGGGAGTGATGGTAAATTTGACATCTTTCTTTAGCAATCACTCTCTCAATACATTGTTCCTCGTTTGGAAATTTGCGGGGTGCCGGGAACGTTGTCATGGGAGTTTATTTGCTATTTGAGCTAATGGCAAAAAATCATATTAGCTGCAGTCTTGATCTCGTTCAATTAACTGTAACGACTTCCACTTTAATGACATTAATGTACATTATTCAGCAGATTATTGAAACTATTTTTAGCTTGCAGATATACAAAAATAACTATTTAATAATAATAATAATAATAAAATAACACTGTTTTAGCAGTGAAAGAATTAACTTAATAATTTACAAATAACGTTAAAATAATGTAAAGCTTTATATTTGGTGCTCTGCTGAACTCTTTAAAATATAGGCCTACTTCGTTTGTATTCCTCCAGGGTGCGCGCAACATAAATGTAATAAAACATGGAGAGACTCTTGAACCTTACAGAAATCTTTATTGATAATTGCAGGCAGATACATAAGGCATGTAGATAGCAGTAATAGTAAAGTGAGATCTGCGTGTCTTATGTGAGGAAAATATAAACAATAAGGCCTTTTAAACTGGATAAAAAAAAACTCATAACTCACTGGATTAAAAAAAACAATTAAAAAGGAAAAGAGACGGCGCAAGCTCAAGCAATTATCAGTAGTTATTATGACAAAACACTAGAAGAACAAAAATGACTTTTGAAGAACCTTTAAAGTTCTGCATTCTGCTTCAGATTTCAATTGTTTCTGAAAATGAACGTACCGTACTTTATGGAATAAACGTCAGGTTTTTTATCATCTGATATATATATATATATATATATATATATAAAGCCATTAATTAATAAATCTCACAAATATTTATATATGCAAAAATGGTTTGTAATAAATTACATAACGTACCTGATGAGTGAATCTGTGCTCGATCCTGTTCAGCTCTTCTGGAGCAGACGAGCTGAAAAACATGAGAGAATAGAGATAACTGAAGATGAATGAAGATATTCAAGCAGACGAGGAAGAAACTTTGACTGGTCAAAAAGGCATTTTAATCTGATATAGAAAGTTGAATATGAACCTGGATGTTATAAATGTAAATTTGACTAATTAAAAATAAAACGTGTAAATGATAAGATATAGATCATCTTTAAAGCTGTAATAACTGAACTCACCATAGACGGTGAGATTGTAATACTTCCTTTTGTCAGTGTATAGATAATAAACGCCACTGTGTTCATTTCTGGTGTTTGTGATGATCAGAGATCCGGTCTGATGATCCAGCTTCAGTCTTTGTTTAAATCTCCCATCAAGAACAGCATCATACACTTCACTCGTGTCTTTCTTTACACTGATTCGAGCTATTAAAACGTTGGTAAGTCCAAAATTCCAGTGAATCTCATTATAATCCATTTCAGTTCGACCAGTGTTTAGAGTGACTGAATCTCCCTCCATCACTGATATTTCCTCTGCATCACAAACACACACATAGAGAAGAAACAGAAAGTTTGTCACAGATTAAGACTTTTAAATAACTTCATGATGATTTAGAAAAGTTATCAGTTTGAAATTTAAATTGAATGAATATTATCATAAAACAACAGAACTGACACAGCAAATGGATGGTGTTTGGATTAATAGTTCCATCTTTAAATTAAAATGTAAAACAGGCGAAACTGATATTTAACCCACCGTAGACTGTGAGAAGGACAAGCGTCTTCATAAGGTTGATCGCGAGTTCAAAAATACTGTCTGTGGTTCTGGTGTTTGTGATGGTCAGAGATCCAGTTTGACCGTCCAGCTTTAGTCTGTCTCTGAAATTCCCATAAAAGACATCATCATATACACTGCTGGTTTTGTCCAGTACATTGATTTCAGCAATTACAGGTCCTTTAAGTCCAAATCTCCACTGAATCAGATCAACATCCATCATTTCGGTAAGATCATTGATTAGAGTGACAGAACCATCCTTTTTCACTGACATGAACTTCACTCCTGTTTCGCCAAACACACAGGGATTTCACAGATTTAAGACATGTTTAAATGAAATAATATCATAAACCAACAAAATCAAAATGGTAATTGTATTAAAGGGTTAGTTCACCCAAAAATGAAAATTAGCCCATAAATTACTCACCCCCGAGGCATCCTATAGGTGTATATGACTTTCTTCTTTCAGACGAATCCATTCGGAGTTATATTAAAAATGGTCTTTGATCTTTCAAGCTGTTTCATGGCACTCCAAATGAAGTTAAATAAAATGCACCCATCCATAAAAAAATAGTGGCGCATGCGCACTCACCGGCACATGCGCAAAGCTGACCTTATACATCCTTCCCCCGGAGCTGCTTCCCTTTACAACAGTGAGCGCAAGCTAGATTAAAGTGATTATTACGTTTTGAATATGGATATTTTTCTTACAAAAATGCATCGATTCGCTACAGAAGGCCTTTGTTCAACCCCCAGAGCCGTGTGAGACACTTTTTCTTTATGGATGGGCGCTTTTTATTTCACTGCTTTTGGACAGATCCATGCAACACCTGCTGAGTGCAATGAAACATCTTGAAAGGTCAAAGACAATTTTTAATATAACTCCGACTGGATTCGTCTGAAAGAAGAAAGTCATATACACCTAGGATGCCTCGGGGGTGAGTAATTTATGGGCTAATTTTAATTTTTGGGTGAACTAACCCTTTAATAATTGTATATCTGTGCCAAATAAAATATATAACTTACTGACGACAGTAAGATTAAAAGGCTTGATCACACCGTTGATCTGCAGTTCATAACGTCCAGCATGTTTCATTGTGGTGTTTGTGATGGTCAGAGATCCAGTTTGATTGTCCAGCTTCAGTCCGTCTCTGAATCTCCCATCAAGAACATCATCAAATACTGTCATGCTGTTGGCCTGTTTATTGATTTCAGCTATTAAAGTGTTTTCACTCCCAAATCTCCACTGAATCACACCATCATTTGTCATTTCAGTAAGACCAGAGTTAAGAGTGACCGATCTTTCCTCAGCAACTAACACCTCTCCATCATCAGCAATCACTCCTGAAGAACAGAGCTGATTAAAATCAGTTGATGTTGGTTTGATGGAACTTCACTAAAATGCATTACTAAGAATCATTTAAATCTGAAGAGAAGAACATTGTGCAGCAGTGCAAAGACAAAAGATGATCAGTGAAAAGAGAAATGAACTTTTCTTTGGAACAATAACCAGAGGCGGACAAAGTACTCAACTCCATTACTTGAGTGAAAGTACAGATACTTCTGGTCAAACATTACTCTATTACAAGTAAAAGTTGTAAAGACAGATTTTTACTTAAGTAAAAGTACAGAAGTACTTGCTTTTAAAAGTACTTAAGTACCAAAAGTAAATTTCCTTTTTTATGTCAATGCACTGTTTTATTGTTGTACGTAGTAGTACTTACAATACTTCTGAAACAACTTAGAATACATTACACCTACTGAATACACTGACTAGCTTGTAGTATATTTGGAATAAAGAGCTTTTAGAATGTTAAAAACCTATGGGGAAAAAAATTAACACATCTACCCACCCCCACAAAAGCAGGATGGTAGTGATCTCACAGCTCTGATATTTTCACCTACGCAATTTAGCAAAATCAGACAATATTGTGTCTAGTATATACCACAATATTAACTTCTTATTATTGAATTGTTGTAAATAAATATCACATTTGCAACTGCTCAGTGTTCAAAAAATGCAGGGAAATCTCTTCATGTAGCCCTACAAGAGTGATTACTGATAAACTGTCTGAAAAAAAAGAAAGTCCCCACTGACTTTCAAAGCTGCTACATAGTAACAACTTTCTACTTTGAGGATCTTGATAGAAATGTAGTGGAGTGAAAAGTACAATATTTGTCTTTCAAATGTAGTGAAGTTAAAGTCATAAGCTCCCAGAAAAAATAATACTCAAGTAAAGTACAGATACTCAAAAAGTGTACTTAAGTACAATACTCAAGTAAATGTACTTAGCTACTGTCCGCCTCTGACAATAACTGACTAGCAAGACTTTATGCAACTAACACTAAGAGTTTAATTCAAACTTGATCTCACAGTTCAATTATTTTCATATGAGAATAACAGTGAATGTTAATCCTTTCTGACTAATATAACCAGGAATTTATTACATGGTACCAGAACTGAAGCAAACGAAGCCATAAAAACACATTTCAAACTCACCAACCAGACGCCACAAACTCAACCAGAACAAAACTAATTTGAGAAACATTTTCTTCATCAATTCACTGCAAAGCCCACAATAGTGATGCTTAAAATGTCTGAAAACACTCTGAAACACGCCTGAACTTTAATATTTATCTGGCTGTGACCACAGTTTCCGCTCCAATGTCCGCTCCTTTAATATCATGAAAATCAACAAACTTTTGCTCATCTTACATTTTCAAATGAATTCCGGCCCTGCATGAAAACTAACAGCAGGAGTGTTTGATTAGATATCCTTTCATCATCTTTAATGTCAATTTCTTACATTTAATCAATACATTCATTTAGAATAACAAGACACTACATGACTGTTGCCAATCGAATGAAATCAGTATCAACAAAATCCATCTTTGCACAGCAGAGGAAACACAGAAGCAACATCTTAAAGGAACAGCCAAAAGCTACGTGTTTGTAAGATGTTTTTAACTTCAAACTGTTGCTTCCAGGTAAAATATGAGACCATAATCCATAATATTCAACTAGGAAAGAAATATGCACAGATCAAGCACTGTTTACAAGCCAAAATGCCCAAAAGTTTGATATGAGAGGTCAACGGGGGATGGATTTTTTCCACTGGAGGAAGTTGTATTATGGATTATGGACTCATAATTTGGAAAGTAGTGACGATTAAAAACATCTTTAAAAGAAACATTTCTGCAAAATTGTATTTTTGGGTGAACTATTGCTTTAATGAAAAAGTAATTGAATCATTCATTAAACCGGAACCGGAAACAGAAACAAATGAGTCATTGAATCACTGACTCGTCCGATTCTTTCAAAAATGCAGCTTTATTCAGTACCAAGTGTTGCGCAGAGTCACTGCCGTGTTGGTTTCAAGAGAGAGACCGAACGGTTGCCACTTGAGTAACACACATCGCTTTCACTTCATACGTGTGGGGCGGAGATATCAGGATAGGGGCGTGTCCTGTTGGGGTGTGGGCGTGTTTGTTTTTGTGCTTTCAGATATCAACATCGTTTGGCTAAATTCGCTTAGTGCACCTTTGACATAGTACATCTAACAAAGTATTTTTTTTCTGAATATTTCCATTTAAAATGTACATTTTCACGTATGGCATCACATTACAAATGAAAGGCTAGTAAGCATGGCTGCAAGGGTGTTTATAAAACAGCTGCTGTGGAGACACTATCGTGGGGGTTTCTTTGATATTCAAGCAAATAGCAATGCCAAAATCATATTTGCTGCATGTCGATCCTGTTCACCCAACTGTAATGACATCCGCTTTCATTACATTAATGTGCATCATTCATTATATTAATAAAAAAATTATTTTTAGCTGTATATGTGCTCCAGAAATTCTTGCAGATTTAAAAAAAAAAAAAAGTATTAATATTATTAAAACAAAATAAAAAAATAAAATAGTTTTTTTTTTTTTTTTTTGCGGTATAAGAATTAGCTAAATGATAATGTAAACATTTACAAAAAACGTTTAAAATAATGTAAAGCTTCATACTGAATGTGGCTGAACTCATTAAAATATACACATAGCTTGTACTCCTCCAGAGGGCGCTCGGCATAATAATAATATAGTAAAACAAGGAGAGTCTCTTGAACTTGAGAGTGAGAACACTTTATTGATTAATGCAAATACATATGGTAAATACACAGCAGTCAAGTGTGATCAGTGCGTCTTATCTGAAGAAAATATAAATCCTTAAAAAAAATAACAAATAAAAGACACTTTCAAACTGGATGAGATTATTATGAAATTTGATTATTAAAAAATCATTAACATAAAAGCATGTTATATTACATAATTTAGCATTAGCAAAGCAATATTTGGTCATTTTAAGCATTTTTCATGACAAACACTCACATTTTGATCATTTATGTGAGAATTTGTTATTGTTTGTTCTCAAATCATCTTCTAGGGAGGAAATGAGCCACCTATAAATAAACAAACACCAACATATGAATATTTAAATCTATTAGAAATAAATGAAGATTAATAAATTATATATATATATATATATATATATATTACAGTTATATGAAAAATGACCATAATTATGTACCTGATGAGTGAATCTGTGCTCGATCCTGTTCAGCTCTTCTGGATCTGATGTCATAAACCAGAAGAACGACAGCAGCCACGCCCACCAGAGCAGAGAGGACCAATCGGATCACAGCTTCAGTAGAACCACAGCAGTGGACAGAGTCTGAGGAATAAACACATCAAACTGAGATCAGCTCAGTCAATAAACACTGATATCAACTCTAATATCAGCGCTGCTGTACCTGAACATGTGTGACAGAGTTGAGTGATGTCCAGATGTTGAGTCTGCTTGCTGATGGGATTGTTGAGCACACAGCAGTAGCTGTTTTGGTTCTGATATTCCACCTCCAGAGGTAGAGAGAGACTGATGCTGAGATCAGACACACTGATGCTGGACAATAAACTGTTTCCTTTGAACCAGGAGAGAGTCACATGACCCACATTAAACACTGAACACACCAATGAACAATTCTGCTGTGATGATGATGAAGAACATTTTGAAGAGTTACTGCTGATGACAGGAACCAGCAGACGAGCTGAAAACATAATAAATATGACCAAATCTAATCAACAATCTTATTTTCAGTTTAATGTGTTTAACAGTCTGTAATCTCAAACTGTAAAATGATTTTATTTAAAGGACAAGACACATGATCTCCACTCACCATAGACAGAAACTCTGAATGCTTTTGATGACAGTTTTCCTCCAGTTATCTTTAGTTTATAATCTCCAGCATGTTTAGTTCTGATGTTTGTGATGGTCAGAGATCTGGTTTGATTGTCCAGCTTCAGTCTGTCTCTGAATCTCCCATCAAGAACATCAAATGTGGAGAAGTGTCCAGCAGCTCTGTTGATGTGAGCTATTAAAGCCGTTTCTGTTTCACACTCCCACAGAATGTCATTTTCACTTATTTCAGTAAGATTAATGTTTAAAGTAACAGAGTCTCCCTCCGTCACTGATATTTCTTCTGCATCACAAACACAGACAGAAACAGGGTTTGTCACAGATTGAGACTTTTGAATAACTTTATGATGGTTTACTAAAGCAATTAGCTTCATGTTTAAATTTCACTTTAAAATACAAGCCAGTTAAATAAATATTTAACTCACTATAGACAGTGAGAATGTAAACCACACTCATTGGTCTGTTGATGGTCCGTAATTCATAACGTCCAGCATGTTTCATTGTGATGTTTGTGACGGTCAGAGATCCAGTTTGATTGTCCAGCTTCAGTCTGTCTCTGAATCTCCCATCAAGAACATCATCCTGTACAGTCATGCTGCCAGTCGTTACATTGGTATCAACTATCACATAATTCCCAAACTTCCACCGAATCAAATCATCCTGCTTTATTGTACCAAAACTATGGTATAGACTCAGAGTGACAGACTCTCCTTCCATCACTGACTCTGTTCCCCATCCTGTAGCACCAAACACTCCTGAAGTTTGTCACAGATCAAAATCACTTGATTGTTTGATGAAGCTCGACTAAAATACTTTTAATCATTTAAATGTGAAGTAAAACTCACCAACCAGACGCCAGAAACACATCCAGAACAAAACTAAGTTAAGAAGCATTTTCTTCGTCGGTTCACGATAGTGAGGCTTAAAATGTCTGAAAACACTCTGAAACACGACTGAAGAACTGATATGTATCTGGTTGAATCCTCCCTCAACAGGATTCAACCTGCATCACAGTTTGATTTATCAGAGGAAGTCATGAAAATGAACAAGCTTTTACTGATTTTACATTTGATAACAAGTTCTGGTTCTGTACGAAAACTAATAGCAAAACATTGAAATGCTGCATGTGTGTTGAATTAGATATCCATGATGTCTTCATCATCTTTAATGTCATAAGACACTATACAGGACTGTTACCAATCAAATATCAAGTATCAACAAAATCCATCTTTGCACTGCAGAGGAAACACAGAAGCTGCATCTTAAAGGAACAGATCACCAAAAAATGACATTTAGTTGAGAGATTGCATCAGTGTCTCAGCAATGGATGCTCTGCAGTGAATGGGTGCCGTCAGAATGAGAGTCCAAGCAGCTGTTTAAAAACATCACAATCCACAAGTAATCCACACCACTCCAGTTCATCAGTTAACATCTGGAGAAGACAAACAAATAAACAAAAAACAAACAACTCCATTAAGGAGTTTTTAACTAAAATATGAGTTCATAATCCATAATAATGCTTCTTCTGAGTGAGTGAAGAGACAATCGTGAAAAGAGTATTGCGAGATTCTCGAGCAGTTTTTTTAACCAAATGGGCAAACAGAGAGCTATTCTGATTAGCGTAGTTGGTGCGCAAACGTACAGCTTGTTGCGTAATCTCATAAATCCAAAAAATCCAAAAGACAAAACTCATCAGCAAGTTGTTTTAATACTGAAGAATCACTTTAACCCACAACCTAGTGAAATTGTGTATAGGTACAAATTTGATTTGCGCACTTGTAGGCCGTAAGAGTCGGTATTGTGTGCGGCATTATGATGAGAGAATTCAAAGACGTCTGCTTGCGGAAGCAAATTTAACATTTGACACTGCCTTGAAAATTGCTCAGTCTGTTGAAGAGTTGCAAAAGCCCTCCTCTGCGGTATGTCACAAAGTAAAAAAAACTCCTCCACTCCAACAGACAGTAAAAAATAATACAATTCGAAAAGTGGGCAGTGTTATACAGTAGGTGGACAACCAGAATGTGCTTTTTACCGCCGTGGGCGCCGCCGCCACGTCTGCAAAATGCATTTGCAGCTTTTGACCGCTGAGTGGTGCTTTAACCACATGTTATCAAGCAAACGCTTCAAAGCTAATGTTTACAAATAACCGTCAGCTTTTCCTCGCCGATGTGTTACATTTGACGGCTGCAGTCAGCGGAAAATGAAAGAAAAACACTAGTTAAAATATTTCATATTCACTGATGCAAATTTAGTACTTATGAAGTTATGTGCGTTTTTCATTTAGAACAAATTCAAGCAGGATAAATGTAAAGTCTATGAGCCTTACTAAAACAGGAAACGAATCAATTAAACTTGGCATGATTTAGTGAAATCATTGAAACTGAAAAGAAGGGATGGATTAATTTAAACGGAGGACGTTTTACTCAAGTTCTCTCAATCATGCTGATGACTGATAGCCTACTGTGTAGGTCTATACTGCTGTGATCCTTTTCAGGCTTTCCGTATCATACCATTTTAGAAATGAATTCATTCTAATAACATTTTAGAAACAATTCTCAACGAGAACACCGCGGGTACGGTGGCCGAGAAGTGCAAAACAAATCACAATTCTAAAAACAAAATAACAAATTACAAACGCAAATGCAAATCTATAAAACAAAATAACAATTCAGAAAACACAACAACAATTCAGAAAACATAATAACATGACGGAAAGCACAACAACAAATTCAAAAACAAAATAACAAGTCAGAAAACACTACGACAAATCAGACAAACCGGAAGAGGTAGGCATAGTTTGAGAATGGATTGCTTACCGCTAATTGGACAAGACATCTGTCAATCAAGGTGTGCAGGAAGTACGGCAGGCTAGTGGTAGAAAGTACGGATATGTTCTGAAAGTAGTTCAGTGAGAATAAATATGTATTGCCCTTTCTGTGGAATACAGTATGACGTGCTTCCAAAGTTCTGCGGTTTCATGTGGAAAAATCTTGAGGTATTAAAAGAGACACAACAGAAAATGCCCGTGTCAACGAACATTACAGGTGTTACAATATATTCAGTTCCTGAAATATTTGGTTCCACTGGGTGGTGCTTACGTGAATATTCATCAGGATACCCCATCGTGGGCGGGGCCATCAAGTACAGGCGACTGGAACAGAAATTATTAGCGTGAGCGCCTCAGATCGCGTTTTGTTTTATGGATTATTTCAAGCAGGTAATAAAGTTGAATGAAGTTAAGCTTAAACTACTCCTATGACTGTACATATTTTGTAAATAATTAATAGTTTCTGTTGCATGTGTTTCTCAGTTACTCTGTTTACCTGAACGATTACAAAACTGATCACTATTTAGGTAGCGTTGGAAGACAACTACAGTATTTCTCCGAATTTCTCCCAGATTATTTGTTGACATTCAGTAGAACTGTACGTTTCTTGTAAATGACTGAGATTAAGCCTTTTAAATGTGTATGATTTCATGTTTAAATAAATATTGACAAATATATTCATGTGTTTTTATTCTGTGTCTCCTGATGTTGTCTGTATATTATAAAAATATCCTTTAAAACAGGCCCGGTTCTTGACTCAGTGATATGTGTCGGGTCCCCGCTATAATAGCAGCAACATTCACAAATGTTTACAGAACAAGCGGGAACCCAGTGTGCCTGTAGTTTTCTCTATTTCTGTTTTATCACGTGATAGAAAGTCTAAGGCCTTCTCAAGCCGTACGGCTGACTCATCTAACCTGCGGCCTGTTATGCATCAAACTAAGATTGCTGTAAAGACACAAGCAATGCCATCAAGTTAGCATTTTTAAACATTCGCTCACTAAAAAATAAATAATTTCTATTGTTGTGATTATTTTTTATTATTATTTTCTTTTCATGTAAAGCACTTTGAATTACCATTGTGTATGAAATGTGCTATATAAAAAAACTTGCCTGGCCTTGCCTTGCCTCTGTCTCGTTTACTCAAATGTATGTCATTGATTACGTTGCATGAGTGCACACTACTGGCGGAACCCTTGCAATGGGCTGAATTGGAACATCCTAAGGCACACCGAATCACACCGAACGCATTTTTTTAGGTCTGACTTTTTTTTTAAAAGAGCAGTGCGCTGTATTTTTTATGTTGCTAGGCAACCACCAAATCAGCTGTCCTGTCAATCTAATCAAAGGATTATAGCACGAGCGCTCTAAAATCTTTGGTTTTTGCTGTTAAGTAAACTGTCAAATACAGCTCCGGGTAACCTGTGACAGACACTAAAAGTTTCTCCTACATCATTGCAGTTTCCGGCCTTTCGAAGCAACGGTAAACTTTCGTCACCACAACGGAAGGCCCGCCTCTCCATTCTTTCGATTGGACAATGGAAAAAAAAAAACGTGAATGACTTCGAGAGCTTTTTCTGCTCAGAGTTGCTTTTTTTCAACTTCAGGCGCTCAGAGCGCTCCTGCAAAAACACGAGGCGCAGCAGGCGGCAAAAACGCAAGGCACACAGGGCACATAAACAGAGCACAGAAAGCTCACTGCCAACCGAAAACAATTTAAAAAAGGCTCCTCTCACTGCAAAAAATGCATTCTGTCTGATCAGGGCGTAAGTCCTTGATCAATTAGAATCCTCTATGGTGTTGGTTTATTGTTTAAATTTTTCCCCTTACGAATTTGTTTGGTGCAGCATTCTATATGTATATAGGTATGCTTGGGCTGTTATAAATGTAAAAAAATATATATTTATATATTATAGAGTTGTTTGGGGTGGCGATAAATTAAACACGATCTGCGATGAAGCAGACTCGCTCCCTCGGTCAAAATTGAGGGGCCGAGGGTCTGTCCATATAAACTTCCCTCATCCACTTTACGAAGTGGAACGCACTTCAAAATGGCAGCGGGGATTCCCCCGAGGGGAAGTGCTTAGGGAAGTTTGTGAGTGCCTGTCTAAAAGTGGAGTGGAATGCAGCCATACACACACATTTCTTCTTCTTTTGGATTTAATCCATTTGAGTGTCTTTTTCTTTTAATGGCAGTTGGAAAATCTACTGGAAGGAGAATACCGCCACCTACTGCACGTCACCGGCATGACAGCTGTCATAAAAAAACTATCGGTTAAAAAAAATACTTGATTGGCTCGGGACATACTTAGTACCAAGTGTTGCACAGAGACATCAGCAGTTCTTCTGTGGATTTGTTTGGAACAATATTTGTTGTGAAATAGAGCAAAAACAGACAATATAATGTCTAAAATGTAACTCAATATTAACTTCTTGTTTGTTGAGTTGTTGTGTGAAATCAAAATAACATTTGCAATCCTGCTGGTATTTGTGAAAAACAGCACTCTTGCTAATGTGATATTGCCCGTGCCCAACTATGTTATATGAGGAAAAGTGTAAATGATATGAAAAGTCAAACAGACTTTCCCCCTCATATCTTGAATATTGGGGTCATTCCAACAGGCTAAATCATGCAGTGAAGGCGTGCACTTTTATTTGCGCATGTGTACTAGTTTATCACACTAAACTACTGACATACATCCAGCAGAAGCTGTTTATCCACATAACAGATCAAACCACACTTCTGTACAGATAAAACAGTGGAGGAAACCCATTGCAGGGTTCATTTTGACTCAAAAACCAGTGAATCGCATTTATAATGTTTGCCTGTGTTGTTAGAACTAAATTCACAAGTAAAAGTGAATGAAAACATACAGTAAATGCGATTGTTCGTTTGGAGAAATTAGCATTTAATTAACTGTCCGTGAGATTTGGTCTTTGGGAAATTTGATGAGAAATATGCTTGATATGTTTATAATGAGACCTCTGCTTTTGATCTGTAGATTTGTAGACTTTAGTATAATCTGAGCAAAATAACTCATTTGAAACTCTAATTGAAGCACATGTGAGGTTACCTTAGTCTTTTCTTCTGGAAAGAGAAATGTAGAGGTCTGCATCTATGTTTTCTGAAATTCAAGTAACGTTATGGTGGATTTACACAACAATTGTCACAGTTCACTACGTGCATAACAGTAACAAAGGTTGAAAAAAAAAACGCACTCAAAAGAAGATAATTTGAGAAATTTCTCAAAGGCCCATTTTTTAACAGAACATAGGCATATAACGTAAGTGTTAAAATACATGTGCACAGTTCAGTTGAATGATAAAGTTTGTACTTTTTAACTTGATGCAACCTTTTCTTTGCTGAATAAACAACATTAACGACAGAATCTCTGAAATGAGAGTGCAAGGTTTATCTGTCAATCAGATGCACGTGAGAGGAAAAGGGTCAGCTAAAACCTATCAATAGCCTAAATGTGTATGTGATATTAAAGGACTGTTTAATTATTTGTGTATAATTATTATGAAGACTAGCAGCATTAATGACACTGTAATTGTGACTCACCAGAGACAGTAACACTGAATTTGTATGTGATCTCTTTCGTGTTTTTGATGATTACTTGATAAAGTCCAGAGTCTGTGGTTCTGGTGTTTGAGATGGTCAGAGATCCAATCTGATGATCCAGCTTCAGTCTGTCTCTGAATCTGCCATCAGGACCATCAGATGTGGAAAAGATTCCAGCCTATTTATTGATTTGAGCTACACGAGTCTCTGGATGTCCAAATGTCCACATTATCTCATCATGTGTCTGTATTTCAGTTAGGGCTGTTATTAATCGAAATTAAATCGCAAAGGCGATAAATCGCGATTAGGCAGAAGCTGCGATTGTCATGTGTACCTTTCAGTGAAGCACGGCTCTGTGATCACCAATAATCCGAAGGCCAGAGGGCGCTCTCGCGCTGAAACTTCAAATACGCCTAGCAGAAGAAACCCAGGAAATCCCGATAGCGGTTGCTGAATAAACAGAAGATTTAACTGCTTTCGTTAATTCAACGTGACTAATAAACACACCTATGGCAATATACGGTTTATCTGAGTTCGTCTTATTATAATTTTTATTACAATAAAGTATATAATAATGCAATGCTAATCGACATAGCCTTTATCACTGCTTGGAATGCTATGAAATATGTTCCGTGCCTTATTCTGTGTAAGAAGCCACATCATCTCACAGAAGGATTTATTTCAAACACTCGACTGACGTTATGAAGTGAGTTTGGAGTAAATATATGTTATTAAATGTGGTATTTTCATGTGCTTTCAGATGGAGCAGCATTTACTACACAGAACCGTAGTTCACTGACAAGCTACGCAAACAGCTTTCATAATCGCAGAAAGATTTCTTCGATTTCATAATCGTGCGATTAAATCGTCTGCAATTATGAACGCGATTTTGCGTAGCTTGTCAGTGAACTACGGCTCTGTGTAGTAAATGCTGCTCCATCTGAGAACACGTGCTGGACATTTACTACTAATCACAGAACCGGCTTTACTGACAAGATGCACATGACAATCACATTCATTTAATCGTGCAGCCCTAATTTCAGTATCAATCTGTAGAGTGACTGAATCTCCCTCCATCACTGACACTGACTGCACTGCATCGAATCAGCAAATACACCTGAACAACAAACAGAAACAGTCAGCAGCATTTACCTCTTAGCGTGACATAGGCAAAACAATTTTTGGGCCCCCCTTCCTCATTAATAGGCCTATATAATATTACCACCCCAGCAAACAAAAATATTTCGTAATCAGTGGAAACCGTTACAGTGTTTTCCATCGCAATAAGTGCTTGCATTCAGTCAATAAAAATCGAATGTCTTAATTTGTTTGAGAATGGAGAAAGACCGTTCCATTTAATATGTTCCAGTGTCGTGGCCACATAACCACTTTGGAAGTACATTAATTCTCTAATAATTTTAACGGCCTGGTGTCACAACCACACCTCGAGATGCTGTTCAGATGATTTATTTCAAGATAAACCTTCCGTTGCAAATTCCAAAACGTCATTTTAGAGCTAATAACAGAGGCTTGGGCCATTGATATGCAGTCTAATGCAGTTATTAGAGAGAGAGAGATTAAGCGCGTGTGAATACCTGCGTCTCTCAGCAGTGTTCAGCAGCAGCGTCTACTAATAGTGAATCTTTAAGTTGATCTGCTTCAAGAACCTCCCAACTGAGAAATGTCATGTAGCTTTTCAACTGCGAAACTATTTTACTGATAAATTCGCGGTGCAGCGCTGATGACAAGTTTCTGTGCGCGTCTCCACGTATGTGCGCGAGTGCGTGTCTGTAGTGTGTGTGCATCTGTGAAAGACGCCACAAACACAAACAGAACCAAAATCTGTCAAACATCTTCAACGGTTTCAGTCCACACAAACATAAAAAGACAAACTCGTCAGAACTGGTTCAGTAATGAAATGACAGATGCGCTGATGTGAGGCTGATCTGTAGTAAAGTGAAGTTAAAGGGGTCCTATTATGCTCTTTTACAAAGTCTTGATTTTGTTTTGGGGGTGTACTAGAACATGCTCTCATGCTTGGTGGTTCGAAAAACGCATTATTTTTCACATAATTTACATTATTCAAATACTTTTCTCCCCAGGCTGGCACAAACGGCTCGATTAGTTCCGGCTTTGAAGAAGGTCCGCCTTCCGAAAAACAAAATGTGTTGTGATTGGTCAGCTGTCCCAGTGCGTTGTGATTGGTGATTTGAGAATGGAGAAAGACCGTTCCATTTAATATGTTCCAGTGTCGTGGCCACATAACCACTTTGGAAGTACATTAATTCTCTAATAATTTTAACGGCCTGGTGTCACAACCACACCTCGAGATGCTGTTCAGATGATTTATTTCAAGATAAACCTTCCGTTGCAAATTCCAAAACGTCATTTTAAAGCTAATAACAGAGGCTTGGGCCATTGATATGCAGTCTAATGCAGTTATTAGAGAGAGAGAGATTAAGCGCGTGTGAATACCTGCGTCTCTCAGCAGTGTTCAGCAGCAGCGTCTACTAATAGTGAATCTTTAAGTTGATCTGCTTCAAGAACCTCCCAACTGAGAAATGTCATGTAGCTTTTCAACTGCGAAACTATTTTACTGATAAATTCGCGGTGCAGCGCTGATGACAAGTTTCTGTGCGCGTCTCCACGTATGTGCGCGAGTGCGTGTCTGTAGTGTGTGTGCATCTGTGAAAGACGCCACAAACACAAACAGAACCAAAATCTGTCAAACATCTTCAACGGTTTCAGTCCACACAAACATAAAAAGACAAACTCGTCAGAACTGGTTCAGTAATGAAATGACAGATGCGCTGATGTGAGGCTGATCTGTAGTAAAGTGAAGTTAAAGGGGTCCTATTATGCTCTTTTACAAAGTCTTGATTTTGTTTTGGGGGTGTACTAGAACATGCTCTCATGCTTGGTGGTTCGAAAAACGCATTATTTTTCACATAATTTACATTATTCAAATACTTTTCTCCCCAGGCTGGCACAAACGGCTCGATTAGTTCCGGCTTTGATGAAGGTCCGCCTTCCGAAAAACAAAATGTGTTGTGATTGGTTAGCTGTCCCAGTGCATTGTGATTGGCGAACAGCTTAGACGGTGTTTCAGTACTGCCACGCCCCTTGCTCCGTCTTTCAACAAAAGCTTTTTGGCGAATCCGGCACTGTACTCACTCGTGTTGTGGAAGCTGTCCTCAGTAAAATGCGCAGCACACAATAGCAAATTGGGGTTATAATGCTCAGGAACAGAGTTAAAAAATAAATTGCAACCACTGTTTCCTGACATCATCCGCTTTCGGAAGCCCAAACAAAGACGTTTGGGCACGGAGGTGAAAAAAACAGCGTTTTAGGTGGTATTATTAGGCGTTTTATTAGGTATTCGCACACCGAATGAGAAGCGCAGCGTCGCGCCACGTCTTTAAAATTCAAATACATTATTTTCTATGAGTGTAGGCACACCGGCGGTGCCGTTCGGCATCTGTCCGCGGCGCCCAGCTACGTCGTGTTGTACTTGTAAGAATTGTTCTAGACATGCCGAAAATGTGATGCTACAGCACAGCAGCTCTTCTTCTTGGTTTTCTCTGATGCACTAACTCTGCAGCAGCACTTCTTCTTCATCGTCTCTCTGATGCACTCACTCAACCAAGCGTTCTAACCACAACCTCGCCCCTCCCCACCCCCCAACCATTCCAATTTCTGTAGGCGGGAATTATTTTTAATGATATTCTAATGGACCGCTTTGTGATGTCACAAAGCCCGGAAACAAACGCTGTAGTCCAAACGAGCCGTTCGTTGTAGTTCTTGAAAAGGGATTTTTAAAAAACGAAATATCTCCCTTTGGTGTGGACTTTGAGATTTGTAACTTTCTAGATCTTTTTTATACCCAAACATACACACTACACACTGACTAAAATTTTAAAAAGTGAAAAAGCATAATAGGACCCCTTTAAACTCTTCTGACAGCTGAAATAGCTGAATATTTTTCCAGTGTTGATGTGTGTGACTGTCCAGCTTTTTTTTTTCTTTTTTTGCTCATTTCACAACATGATAACTTGACCGCTTTGAGCTCCAGTAAGCTGCAGCTTCCTGCAGATCAGTTCAGTTGTGTTATTTTCAACAGAAATAAACTGACCCCATAACATGGTCAGTGTCTAGAGAAGTTAAAAGTGTCTTAAAGCAGCGTTTGATCCTGAGATCCTGAGAGTGTTTGGCTCTGCTCTCTCCTGTAACTGTCTTCAGCTCGCTTGTTGTTCATTTCTTATCAAAAGTCTCAATTGTTTCTCCTCTCAGACTGATTTCAGAGTTGCTCTAATGGCTTTATGGAGCAGGAACAGATCACCTGCCAGAACTGTGTGGAGAAAAGTGTTCTCTTATATTTTCATATGACATTTTGCATGGAGAGGAAGTCAGAGTGTTTGGTTCATTTAAACAGGAGAGAAAATTAGGCCTACAAACTACTGACAGATACACTGACCGCATTCATCTAATAATAAGCATGCTGATGTCAGAGCTCTTTCTCCAGCCAACTGATCAAACCACATTAAATATAAATATATGAGTTCAGCTTTGATCACACTACATTCAGTGAGTGACATTTATTGCTTTTATCTGTTTTGCTGCTAGTAAGTTAAACACTGACTGAATGTTCATGAGAACAGTAGCCTGTAAATATAATGTTAATTTGTAACAAAATAAGACTGAAAATTTTGCATTTGGCTGAATACATGGCCAAAATAACTCTTTGAAGCACTTGTGAGTTTACCTTGGTCTTTACTCCTGAAGAAGTGTAGTGTTATGTCCCAACATGCTGTTGTTGTTGTTTTAGTCTTACTAATTTATTCTTTTCTGGTTTACAAATGTGTGGGTGTAGTCATGTGCCCTGAGTCTGTGTTGTGCTTGGTCTCTCTCTCTCTCTCTGTCTTTCACTCACTCACTCTATTCCCTCTCAGGCCGAATCACCACCACCTGTAGCTCATTATGAGAGCATGGGTGAGACAGGCCCTGCGTTCCATTCGGAAGTGCTCATCCCTATGCCCTAATCCCTTCAAAGGGTTTACCCTTCGGAGTGAGAGCTTCGAAGGGATGAAGGGTGTAGGGGTCAAAAAGGCTCTTTTTTTGGAACTCACTTCTGCGTCATGTTAACGAGACGATCAAGGAGGCGCCTTCATTGCACATTTTTGCTGGTTGAAGTGTAGATCAAAGTTTTGTGATATTCAAGTTAGGTTATAATGAGCTTACACTATAATTCTCATGTTTAAAAGGTTCTCTATAACGGTGTATACCGCCGAGCGCCCGCTGCTGGAAGAACCGAGAGGAGAAACATTCACAGACTGTGATGACGCGCATCCACAGACATGAACATCGTACATCTACTTCTATTTTTTTCCCCTTAATATTTTCATTTAAAAAGTACATTTACACATTGTGTTATATATGGCGTTGCATTACAAATGAAAAACTAGTAAGCACTGCTGCAAGGGTCATTTCTAAACAGCTGCTGAGGGAGTGACGGTGAATTTGACATCTTTCTCTCTTCTGACTGCCTTATATCAATCTCTTGATATCTTTTTCCTTGTTTGGAAAGTCGTGGAAACGCTGTCGTGTGGGTTTCTTTGCCATTCGAGCAAATGGGAACACAACAAAATAAAATCATATTTGCTGCAGTCCTGATCCTGTTCACCCAACTGTAACGACTTCCGCTTTCATTACATTACTGTACATTATTCAGTAGATTAATAAAAACTGTTTTTAGCTGTATATGTGCTCCAGAAATTCTTGCAGATATACAAAAATAACAATTTAATAATAATCAAAAAAATATTAAATAATGTAAAGCTGTATATATGTGGCGCTCAGCTGAATCGTTAAAATATACTTCGTTTGTATTCCTCCATGGGGCGCTCGACATAATAAATGTAATAAAACATGGAGAGTCTCTTGAAGATTAGAGTGAGAAACTTTATTGATAAATGTAAGCAAATACGTATGGAAAATATACAGCAGTCAAGAGAGATCGGTGTGTATTATCTGAAGAAAATATAAACAATAAAGCCTTTCAAAGTAGATTTTAAACAACTCAGACAATGAAAAATGCAAAGAGAGCGCGCAAGCTCAAGCAATCATCAGCAGTTATGACAAAAACACTTGAAACGTTAATTTTCTGCATTTTGCTTTAGATTTCAATTGTTTCTGAAAAAGATGAATATATATATATATAAAGCCATAAATTAATAAATCTCATAAATATTTACATATGCAAAAACAAAAAAGTTTGTAAGAAATTACATCAGTTATAGGCCTACCTGATGAGTGAATCTGTTCAGCTCTTCTGGATCTGATGTCATAAACCAGAAGAACGACAGTAGCCACGCCCACCAGAGCAGAGAGGACCAATCGGATCACAGCTTCAGTAGAACCACAGCAGTGGACAGAGTCTGAGGAATAAACACATCAAACTGAGATCAGCTCAGTCAATAAACACTGATATCAGCTCTAATATCAGCGCTGCTGTACCTGAACATGTGTGACAGAGTTGACTGGTGTCCAGATGTTGAGTCTGCTTGCTGATGGGATTGTTGAGCACACAGCTGTAGGTGTTTTTATCCTGATATTCCACCTCCAGAGGTAGAGAGAGACTGATGCTGAGATCAGACACACTGATGCTGGACAATAAACTGTTTCCTTTGAACCAGGAGAGAGTCACATGACCCACATTCACCACTGAACACACCAATGAACAAGATGATGATGATGATGAAGAACAGTTTGAAGAGTTACTGCTGATGACAGGAACCGGCAGACGAGCTGAAAAACATGAGAGAATAGAGATAACTGAAGATGAATGAAGATATTAAAGCAGACGAGGAAGAAACACTGAGAGCAACCAAGACTGATCAAAAAGGCATTTTAAAAACAAATTTGATAAATAAAGTTAAATCATTGCATTGCTTATAATGCATATGTGGAAAACTCCGGTTTTACTCTGTACTGAAGCCTAAATTGTTCACGTTTGTGTAGCTGGAAAGGCATCAGAACTCGACATTTTGAATACCTGATATTTTTATTTATTTTTATTAGTTTGACAGGGAAAGCTGTGCGAAAACAGAAAGACACACACACACTCACATATATACATATATTCATTTATTTCAAAAAATAAATAAATAAAATTAAAAAACACTCCCCAGAAAACAGGGCACTTTCTCTCGAGGAAGAAAAAGGGCAGGTGCTCAAGCCCCCTTTGATGACTATGTGTGCACATGCCTGATCCTTTCTGACTAATATAACCTGTAATTTATTACATGGTACCAGAACTGAAGCAAACGAAGCCATAAAAACACATTTCAAACTCACCAACCAGACGCCACAAACTCAACCAGAACAAAACTAGTTTGAAAAACATTTCCTTCATCAATTCACTGCAAGCCCACAATAGCGATGCTTAAAATGTCTGAAAACACTCTGAAACATGACTGAACTTTAATATTTATCTGGCTGTGACCACAGTTTCCGCTCCAATGTCCGCTCCTTTAATATCATGAAAATCAACAAGCTTTTGCTGATCTTACATTTTCAAATGAATTCCGGCCCTGCATGAAAACTAACATCAGGAGTGTTTGATTAGATATCCTTTCATCATCTTTAATGTCAGTTTCTTACATTTAATCAATACATTCAATTATAATAACAGGACACTACAGGACTGTTACCAACCAAATGAAATCAGTATCAACAAAATCCATCTTTGCACAGCAGAGGAAACACAGAAACAGCATCTTAAAGAAACAGCATCATCTGCAGTGAATGGGTGCCGTCAGAATGAGTCCAAACAGCTGATAAATACATCACAATAATCCACAAGTAATCCACAGCACTCCAGTCCATCAGTTAACATCTGGAGAAGAGAAAAGCTGCATGTTTGTAAGAAACAATTCCATCAAGACGTTTTTAACTTCAAACTGTTGCTTCCAGTTAAAATATGAGACCATAATCCATTATATTGAATCAGGAGAGAAATCTCAACAGATCAAGCACCACTTACAAGCCAAAACAGTCCAAAATGCCCTAAAGTTTGATATGAGAGGTCAACGGGGGATGGACTCTTTCACTGGAGGTAGTGTTATTATGGATTATGAACTTGTATTTTGGACAGAAGTGACGGTTTACAGTTAAAAACGTCTCAAAAATAAAAATTTAAGCGCATTTTCCATTTTAAGTCAACTATAACTGTAATGAATAAGTCATTGAATCTTTCATTAAACCAAATCAGGAACGAATGAGTCATTGAATCATTGACTCACCCGATTCTTTCAAAAACGCGGCTTTTTTCGGTACCAAGTGTTGCACTGAGAGATCAGCGGTTTTTCTGTGGATTTGTTTGGAACAATATTTGTTGTGAAGTAGAGCAAAAACAGACAATCTTATGTCTAAAATGTAACTCAATATTAACTTCTTGTTTGCTGAATTGTTGTATGAAATCAATATAACAATTGCAATTGTGCTGATATTTGTGAAAAACAGCACTCTTGCGCATGTGATATTGCTTAACTATATGAGGAAAATATAAAAGATATGAAAAGTCCAACAGACTTTTCCCCTCATATATTGAATATTGGGGTCATTCCAACAGGCTAAATCATGCAGTGAATGCGTGCACTCTTAATGTGCACATGTACTAGTTTATCAGACTAAACTACTGACATACATCCAGCAGAAGCTGTTTATCCACATAACAGATCAAACCACACTTCTGTACAGATAAAACAGTGGAGGAAACCCATTGCAGGGTTCATTTTGACTCAAAAACCAGTGAATCGCATTTATAATGTTTGCCTGTGTTGTTAGAACTAAATTCACGAGTAAAAGTGAATGAAAACATACAGTAAATGCGATTGTTCGTTTGGAGAAATTTGCATTTGATTAACTGCAAGATTTGTTCTTGAGAAAATTTGTCAAGAACTGCTTGAGTTTATAATAAAATCTCAGGTGTTTGATTGTAGACTTTGGCATTTTGGCAAATCTGAGCAAAATAACTCCTTTGAAACTCTAATTGAAGCACATGTGAGGTTACCTTATTCTTTTCTTCTGGAGAGAGTAGCGGCCTGGATCAGTGTTTTCTGAAAATAAAGTAAGTTATGGTGGATTTACACAACGATTCTCACAGATCACTCCCTATATAATGGTAAAAAATAATGGTAACACCATTTTTTAACCGTCAGTTATCATTTGAAACTCAAGGTAGTCAATTCAAGGCGTTAAAGTTTGCCTACAAAACCACCACTGGCTCTGCACCCCTTCATTACTTCAGACTTATGTGCCTCTAGAAGCTTGCGTTCTGCAAGTGAACGTCGCTTTATTGTGCATCCCAAAGAGGCACTAAATCACTTTCGCCCCAGTATTGTAACGGGGACACTATACTGTAAAAAAGCAGCATCTTTCGGATGAGACGTTAAACCGAGGTCCTGACTCTCTGTGGTCATTACAAACCCCATGGCACTTCTCGTAAAGAGTAGAGGTGTAACCCCGGTGTCCTGGCCGGATTCCCTCCACTGGCCCTTGTCAATCATGGCCTCCTAATAATCCCCATTCACTGAATTGACTCTATCTCTCTCTCCTCTCTAGCTGGAGCTGGTGTGTGGTGAGCGCACTGGTGCCGTTGTCCTGTGGCTGCCGTCACATCATCCAAGTGGATGCTGCACACTGGTGGTGGTTGAGGAGAGACCCCCCCCCC